TATATATTTACACGGAAATGAATGAATAGATTAATCGAAATTGAAGTAAATTAAGCAAAAAACGACTTCAAAGGGAGATTGAATCACCGAAGAAATATGAGCACACATAAATAGCAAAACAAATGAATTCAACCGAAGTAAATATGACGAGTCTCATACAAATAAATGCATCCAATAATATATTCTCAAAACATTTTTTAGACAATTGATTTTCTCTTCGAATAGCTAGCTAGCTATCATTAAGCCTTTCTTATGTTCAGCAGACCGTCGTGACAACAAATAGTGTCCTATTGTTTGGAATTTTCTACATTCACTCAAATCATCCGTCAAATCTGATGAGTGACAACGTTCAATCACTGACAGACAACATCAAAATCCTCAAATGTTTTCAGTTCGATACACTTTCTTCGAACACACAATTCCATAACAACACTAACTAACTAATCGAATCGACACATTAATAAACGAACGAATCAACAAATGAATATTAATCGCAATACTCAAAAATCAAATATCCAAATCAAAAAAAAAACTACACTCCTATCGCACATTACTAATAAACACTCGAATTTAACGCATTTTCGCGTCGCAATCACTCACAATCAGCTGTCAGAAAACAACATGTCATTAAAAGTCTACGAGTGAGTGAATGAATTTCAACTGTGAACAATTCAAATGAACTCAAGTGAATTTCAACTACACATTGATTTGTTGCTGTTACATATCGCTATAAGAAACACAACGAAACGCTTTCAGACCTGTTAAGCACATCACTAATCATAAGAACGCTCGAACATTCGTTATCACAGCGAAGCTTACAACTAGATAAATCTATCACGTTTTCAAATGATCACGTTTGCTGATCAAAAAACTAAACTGATAAAAATGCAACACTACGAAGCGATTCTATTTTTGGATTAAGCATTTCAAATTACTCACAAATTGCAGCCGTTGATAGCAACTGCCCAAAACTCATGCATATTTGAAGAAGTTCAGAAACAGATCGGAAATGAACTCGCCTGAATTCAACATTAATCGCATAAACAACTTTCGCTCGAAACATGACTCTATCGCTCAGCACACGATGTGAAGTCGGAACATCAATCACTGTAGCAATAAAATGAAGCGATAAATTGAATGGGATTGACAAAAATAGCAACATCAACAATAAAAATTAACCGAAACAACGAAAGGATTAAAGCCATACTCCATAAAAACAATTCTATGCGATAACATTTTGGCACAAACAATCACTTAAAGAACTTTGTAAATATTCCATTCTCAATGAATTGAATAACAAATTAGCCAACTACAAATGCAAATATCAACAATTCAGAGCATTAAACAATTCAAAATCACCGTCATATAATCATTCACCTCAACATTGAATCACTCTAAAATGAACCATGTATATATTATCCCCAAAGTCTCCTTACATGGGCAGAATCTACAAACTTCTTTTCAAAACATGAAACTTTTAAGCAAAGTTTATTCAAATGGAATGCAAACGAATAGCATCTCCAATATATATCTACCTCTTAAAATGTGCTAGTCAGTGTGCATTCCAGCTGAAAATATCAGTTTGAAAACAGCATATCTATTTGAGTCATGACTGAGTCAGCGCTCCCATTACTCACACAGGAAGTAATAACGCTCTACACTGACTAATATCTCAGCAGTAAACATTTCTAAAGTTTCATTTGATAATAAAGATTTATGATATGCTTAAAACGATTACGACGATGGCTTGCTTTTACTTGATCTTGTACTTTCTAATGTGCTCGTTGCGACTTTAGGGACAACCTGCACTACAGCAAACACATCACTACTGCAATGAGACTATAAAAGCACCACATAAAGCTCAAAAGCAGCTATTGGACAATACGAAATGAAGATCTTCGAGGAACATTTGATGTTCAGAAGAAAATATTCATTTGATGACATCAACTTTAAGTTCATGGCATCAAGCTCATATGTTCACATATCAAGAAGCATATGAGACTACTCTTCGGAGACCAACTGAAAACTATATGGCATCTGTGCTTCAGACCATGGACAGCATTACTTCATACATCCGAATTTCTGGTCACAAAGAACACGATTGCCAATTTCGTCTCTCGCTCTACTCGTCCCTAAAAAATTAAAAGTTACTCACTGCTTCATACGTGGTTTGCCGCAAGTTCTCTTATTCAAGTGAATATATCTGTAGCGAAAACAAAGAAGTGACATCGAATGAAATTAACCTATAATAAACATCCACACTATCCTCATTACAATAAATATTTTGTCCCACTGAAAATTTTCGAACTTAGGATTTAATTAACCTAAAATGTTTGAGAATCGCCATTGAATGCAATCCAGATATCTCAAAATATCATCTCACTTTCGACTATTCTAACCAGGTTGATCGATCTAAATCAATCCGGATTCCACAACGAATCTAATTCATAAACATACGAAGATCAAGCCATGTCGCAATATTCAACATTTGAATGACATTTCCATGCACCAAAACAAACCAATAACACCACTTACGAACAAACCTCATCGATTCTCATCGATCAACTCGTCAATCGCCCAAATTCCACGTCAGGCCTGAGTAGCATGAGTGTGCGGGTGATTTTGCTGATGCTTATCAGCATTCATGCTTTCTGGTTGGCAGTGTTGACCATATCGCTCATATCGACTCTTCATCATATGATCAGCGAAATTCTCGAATCCTCCGAATCTCTTCTGGCAGAACACGTAAAACGCACAAGCCAAAATGAAGTAGAATCGCATAAGATGAACTTTCACCATCAAATAACACCAAAAACATGACGATATCACCCAAAATACAATCGAACAGCAGTAACCCATATCGAAGGCTCCAACCTGAATTCGTTCTAATTTCTACAACCACACAATCATTCTTCTCATACTCAGTACGAAGAGTTGATCGAATCGAACATACAGTTGATCGCATATTCATCCACATTCATCTATTGTAACTAGCGAATCACCTCCGTACAAATATCGAAACGAATTGATAACTATGAAAAATTGCTTGCATATAACAATTTGTTAAAAATCCAGAATCTCTCATAAAATACCAAAACCAACAGCAAATAATCAATGACTTCATGATCTCCAACTAGATCTAAATGAACAAATCCAATAAAACTTCTTACCGTCCACATATGACGCTTATCAGTCGGCGATTGAAACTCTTCGTTTTTCGTATAGAATCGTTTCAAACGTTCCTCTTTTTCCAGCCAAATTTTGTTCAACCACTCAGCCGCCATGCCCGCATCTGCGGGTATCTCGTTTATATCGTACTTTCGCACATTGAAATGCACCTCTTCTGGGTACCGTCCTCTACGTACCAAATCCATTTCGTTGCTCACAACACCTTTCGGATATCCCACAGTCACATCATAGATGTGTTTAATGTATCCATCTGCAATCCCATCATCTAATTTTGATCCATTTTAATAATACTCTTCTTATTCACAAAATGCTTCTTCGAAACTATCCTACGGAGAAATAATTTTTTGTCCAAAACTTTCATATCCATTACACATGTAATGATACGCATATTACAATTCCATTCTTATAGTGTGATTTTTCAATGATAAGATGAGACTGATCGTTACATCAAATACGAACAAACGATAGAATATCGAGCGAGCGATCATCTCAGCTTCTAAACAATACATTGTGATCCTATACAATACATTGGCAAAAAATTATACTATGAATGATAGCATAAACTGTTGGCAGCAACCACTTACACCTACACATAACATCTGCATTATATCTTGACGGAATTGTTTAATGATTCCAAAAAATTTCGCATTTAACATAACAAAACTGTAAGCTAAACCTTCTCTCATCAACTGCAACAGATATGTAAAACCGGCAGTACGTGGATGAATCACATATTCATATTTTGGCAGGCCGCTTTTCTCAGCAAACACATCACTCAGAAAAACAGCACGTGCACCACGGTCTGTACCTTCGGGGAAAAGCAAAATCTGAAATGCAGTTCATGAGCTTAAAACGCACTTGACGAGAGAGTCTACGTAATAAAACAAATCGAATCGGACAAACCTGATAATTCCGTTCAGAGCGTTTATAGTAACTAATCATTCGTCTCATTATATGTTGATCATTCTCGAAATTTCGTTCCAAAAACAAGTACGCTCCACAGCACATCGCCCAACCTTAACACAGAAGATGTACTTGACAGCAATAGTGAACTATTCATCACTATCCATGTCCAGGTCTAACCATAAATAAGTATCTACTCTTAAATCAACACTGACTGAACCGAATGCATATTCGCATCTACAAAAGCTTGGTCACAGTTTAACAAATATGTCGCCTTACTCCTAACAATATCGCCCGTTACTTTCCAACAGTTAACAAAGCAATCAATAGTTCTTCTTTATTTCTAAACGTGCTCTTTCACCCTCAGTCAAATCCAATTGACACGTACAAGAGTCTTTAAAATCAACAGAAGACTCCAACTGCAAAAGAGACTTCAAAGTCTTCAACCTTTAAACTACTAAAGATAAATTTATTCACTTCCTAAAACAACTTACCAGCTCCTGGTATCAATTTCAAGCGTGCTTTCAACGATATTTTCTGCGATCTCAACAAGCGATAATCCATCGCGTACAAAGCATTCCAAAAGAACAGCCAATCCAATCTGGTTCGATGATTCATAATGATCAACGCTGGCTTATCGCATTCGATCTGATCACCACTCACGAAAAATTTGATGCCGAATAGAAAATTACACAGTGCCTGAAATGCTCGTCAACAACAATAATCAGAATCTCAAACCCCAAATAAAAACTGCTAAAGTGAATCAGCCCACAAGCCAACACGGAAGCGTGAGCGAAGCTGTCGATAAAATAAATGAACCATTTGAAAATCTACTCAGCCTTTCTCATGAATTCAAACTCGATCCAACAAAATTTCCACTGATCACCCACTTATCATCAACTCAAATCGGCATCTCACTATCCAATTCTTACCGGCACAAGAAATCGCTGATAAAACAAAGCATGAGTATTTGCTGATTCAATCCATCTGCATTAAACGAACGAATAAATAAAATTATAATTCCAGATGCGGATTCGATAACGAATTTAAAGCACTCACCGCTGGCAAGGTCAGCCAGTATCCGACGAAGAAATCAGCGTAGAATCGCCATAACTTTGGTGCCAAGTAAACAAACGGCACGAAAGGTAGCAGAATGAAGATCGAACCCAACAATGAGGATACCAACAACAGACCACAATATAGAATGCCTTTAAAGCTTGGCATTTTTTCTTTTTATGGCTAATTCTTCAAACGTCAGCCATTCACCCGCTTGTAACCACCAAGTATCTCTGAATTATCAACTGCAGTTCAATTGTGCAAAATATCATTGAACGAGCGTTACTTCCTCAACTCGAAAACACACAAACGAAATTGACCCATAACCAAATGCTCAAATTCATAACTGAATGAAACAACATTTTCCCTATACAAGTATGGGAACACAACCAACATTCGTGATACCGAAGCAAGGCATTGACTATCTTCTTCATGCACGAAATGATTGCTTCAATCATTCTGATTCAGTTCATATAAAAACCGTTAAATTTCATGACTTCAATTGAAAACTTTTCTGGCTGAACATCAAACAAGATATCAACAAAATTCTGAAAAAGAGAACGGCTGAAAATAAGTGATTTATAAGAAAGGCTGACAGCAGCTTCGGTAGCAAAAAACCTTTTCTGTTGACAGAACATAAATACCTCAAAACTCCTGGACAATACCAATGGATCATCAATGATCTATTTATTTTGAGTCATCAACTGTTATGGGAACATACAAATCGCTCATATGCATCTTACCAACAACGAATCAAAAACGGAAGCAAACACCCCAATAGAACAACAATTAAAAAACAAAACTATGTATGAATACAATACGACCTCACAGAAAAGAATCCATGCAAAAAAAATCCAATTAAAACAATATGTAAAACACATTGCACTTATCCAAAGAACAGAATATAATATACAAGAAAAAAGTCATAATACAATATACACGAAAACGGTCATAGGAATATAACGTCTTATCTACTATAAATATGTCATTTTTTTCATAAAAAACACAATCGCCAACATATTTCAAGCAAACTGCACAACTTACAATACCCAGAACAATAATACGAAAAACACCCGAGAGACATATACATATACATACAATATGAATACAAACTCAAAACAACACCAGCTCACTGCAACAGATTTTCCTATCGAATCATGCAATACGCAAAGAATGGAAATAAACCCAGTACTAACCTAACAGTAAAACAACCGCATCAAAACATCCTGAGTTCATTCATCGAAACAACCTGTCATGTGTTGTCCATTTAAAACAGCATTAATAATGAGCAGAAAAACGTGAAAATGAAATCATACAAACAAATTAAGGTATATGAGATTCTTGATGCTTCATCGATAATGACAATTCCGCTATAAGGCCACAGATCAACATCCAATACGCAACGAATGAAACATAGAATCGTACACGACAGACCTATACCAACCAGTTGTGCAGCTAGACGCCACACCAGTCATTCATTCATTTAACAGGTTATGGAATCCCATAGACGGCATCATAACACTGCTTAATTTCTTCATCGGTCAACTGAAATTCAAAATATACGAGATGATCGAAAACTAAAGGTCGCTATAGTAAATTCGTGACCAGTACAGTGCTCACATCACATGTCAATCAATCAAAATGTACTCCACAAAATCATTGGTAAAAGTTCAGTCCATTAGAGCTTATTCCCCTTTGTTAATATAAGATCTAAAAGCAACAGTCTGAATCATGTTACCCTAAAATTTCTAAGCGAATTCGTGTCTTGTTGTGATTGTTGTTCAGTTTTTAAAGGATCCACATTTTCTTGAGGCTCTGACTGCTGCGATGATGGCACCACATCAGTTCGCTGACTTAACAGAATGCTATCAGATTCTTGAATAATCACGTCCGACTGCTCTTGTGTACAACCTGAAATTTGGCTATCATATGAGCGCATTTGAAATGTTGAAATCATCTTAAAATTTCACAACTTCAACATGCGATTCATTCCTCACAAGAAAAATATAAGTATCGAAATTTTAACTCTTTTATTCTCCCGATACTCATCCCTATTCGTTCACATTAATACCGTTATTAATACGGTCACTACTATCGTTATCAATATTACTTTCCTAGATTCATTATTACTATCATTCTGCATACCAAAACTGTTAATGTTACATACTATACTGATTCAATTCATTACAGCTGTTTCTGAATCCTGCTGTATGAAAATGCCTGCATAACGAGAAATCTACCACAAAACATACAGACATCTCTCGAAAACGACGAATTCCTCAATATTTCCATCAAAATATCAATGGTCTCTGGCATCGTGAAGTGTGCTACTCTCGGAATCTGAAATAAATTCTAACTGTGCTCAATAGCAATATGACTGATCAACGCATCTGACAATGAATAACGTAATGTGCAGTTCGCATTGTAGCAATGCATGTTTCCTCTCAATTTCCAATCTGTACAATGGATCACTTTAAATTCACGATCACGTTTCATTTCCCAATTGGATGAGACTTTAAAAAATGCTTACTTATCTCTTGATTAATTCTAAAAGAAGGCTCAAATAAATTCCAAATCGTGCAAAATGGCCACGTGCTTATGAATATTCAACTTAGAGGAGCCCTCAAGTCAAGTCTTTTAACAAAAACGGAATTTACTTAGAAACGGTAAAAATTCTTCTCGAAAACTACAATTTCAAACAGCCAAACACATCGCTTCTTTAAGATGAAAGCTTCGAAAGATGCCACTTTTCAGACAAATTTTTAAGATATTTGAACTTTTTTAAGATAAAAAGCTTTGAAATGCTTTCACGGTGAACAACCTTCATCGATCGCAGTATTTAGAAGATAATTCCCGCAGTGAAATGTTTAATCAACTGAACAAAACGAAGAACAATGAAGAGAATCACTTCATTAACGGTTGCTCCTGCATTATGAATTTCAGATCTGTGACAATGAAGTGAAACAAGGAACGAATAACAAACATACTACAAACAGCCTTAAACAACGACAATTGCTCTTCAGTTTAACCTCAAATGCCCATCACTTGAGCATAATCGCCTGATATAATAACAATTATGATAATCATGATCATTAACTAGCACCGCAAAAAATCATAAGTTAGAATTTTTCGGTGCGATTGAAAAAACAGTTTTCGATGAAATTCAAAAGTAAAACGAGAAACATTGAGCTGAAAGAAATTTGAAGTGAAACAAGGAACGAATAACAATGTCATGTGTTGTCCATTTAAAACAGCATTAATAATGAGCAGAAAAACGTGAAAATGAAATCATACAAACAAATTAAGGCATATGAGATTCTTGATGCTTCATCGAAGCCACTGCTTATATTACGAGCAAATTCAATTCATCCTTCTTCTTAAGTTTTGAGATATTTAAGACAGAAAGCTGAAGAAGGCATGAAGCTGACTGACTGAGAGCATGTACGATCATCATGCAGAAACAATGAACATTAACAAATGCGCACAAGAAAGGATGAAAAAATGATATGACATGGCTACATGCATACACTATTCCGGCGTATTGCTTAACAAGACGATAAAACACAGAACCAATAGAATGAAGCACCACGAACGTAAAAGGAAACCAATAAAGATAAGAATATTTTTACAACATATCAATTGTGACACAATTTTATTAATTGTATAATGACAATGATTACAACCATGATAACAATAATTAACACAATCACAAAAATAATAATATGTAACGAACACCATTCACAGTATCTACAAAAATTTGATATCATACGATAACATGAGGTAATAAGCGAACATTGCACACACAAATTTCGTCAAATACGATAACAACGCATAAACTTTTAACACCACAAAAAGATTACTGACAACGAAACGGTATTGAAAGACACGATGCTATGAGAATGATAAACCACGGAACTGGAATGTTTAATCTGGAGAAGAGCTGTAGATGAACTGAAACCATCGCGGGTGATTGGCTAAGTCACATCACTTAGCAACGCTTTCTTTTCACCACCCACTTTTTTTTCCTTCTCGTGTTCACGCCCGCCAACTCCACCTTCCGACAAAATTCCTTCAAATGCTCTCTGTAGTCGACATCTGTTTCTTCGGCTTTCATACGCTGTCGCTCCAATACGTGAAGGATTTCCAATTTCTGTTTGAATTCATCATTAAAACGCACTGATTATACCACTGACATCATTATTCACTAGTGCGTTACTGCTGCTTATATCATTGCTACCGTCTCTTATCAATTTAATTCATTATCCTAACTTAATAACCGAACGAACCGAGTTCGTTTATTGCTCAGAACCGAATTCGAATGAACAAAAGTGAATAATATGGCGTCTTATCAGCTCATCCCTCAATTCTGACGAATGAAATGATAAACGAATCAAAAACGAAATCAAACTCAAACAATCAATCAGAATCTCACCTCAATACCAGTTAGTTGTTGATATGTCGGATCGGTGCTAATTCGTTCAACCAGCGAAAACAAAAAAGCGTCATCTTGTTGTTCTTTTGTAAGAGGTATCTCGTCAAACACGCCATTCGCCTCTTCAGCATCTCCTCGATAAGTGACACCATTTGAAATCGATGCACCTGGTGCACTTTTCACTGGCACAGTTATGTTCTTCACTTGCCATGTATCAACTGCTGTATGGCTTGATGATGGTCCAGCCTCACCATTTTCAGTGATCGCTAATGGGTCATTATTCATCACAATGCATAAACCTTTTTCGGGATGCTGAAGGAAGTCATCACATTGTAATAAATCATAGAGCTGTTCTACTTCCCTTCGCTGTTGCTCTGGTAATTGCTCGAAACAGTAGCTTAACCCACTCACACTTTCTGATATTGTGTTCGGTGAGGACATGCGACTAAACGGAGAGTTGCTCGTCACTTGCTTCGTTTGGTGAGGGTGATTCGAATGGTTCACCGCAACAGATGATGGTTTCCGAACACTGAGCCATTGACAAGCTTTTTGTTGCTGTGGTCGCTCAGGTATTGCTGTTGGTGGCCGCACGTCTCTCGTGGGTGTTTTCTTTGCGGCTAATTGAGGTGGGGAGCGTGGATGCGATGGAGATGCTAATGATACGGCCGGCATTATGCATGGGTGCAGTGGACTAGGGTTTCGCCCAACTGCAGATGGCGGTTTCTTCAGTGGAGAG